GAAACAGAGCTTATTCTTATATTATCCCATATAATAAAACCCTAATACGCAAATGGACTGAACGGCGGAACGACCGTTCGCTGTGATGCGCACTGACCACCAGGGGGCAGACACTCAATGCAGGAGCTGCCCCCTGGTGGTCAGTGTGCTCCCACAAGGGGAGTGCCGCTCAGCCAGAAGCTGGGCTCACAGCTGGTGAGCGCAGCGGTGGTGGCGGGAGCCTCCCTTGCCTCCTCTGTAGGCGGGCAGTAAGGAGCGAGGGGTCCTGGACTGCGTGAGCCCCGGACTGTGAGAGGGATGTCCGACTGCTGGCTTAGGCCTGCTCCCTGTGGGGTCCTGGATTGCAAGAGGGCGCTGGCTGGGCTGAGGACACCCCCCCCCCCCCGTGCACAAAAGTCAAGCACCGGGCCTCTAGTCTATACATATAAAAGCCTAAGTGATAGTTATGACCAGACAGTAACTATGGTGCACACTGATCACCAGGGGGGAGACGCTCAATGTAGGAGCTGCCCCCTGGTGGTCAGTGCGCTCCCACAGCCAACCTCCCATGGCCAGCCAACCTCCTGCGGTCCCTCCCTCCAGCTGGGCGGTCCCTCCCTCCAGCCGGCCGGTCCCAATTGGGACTGGGTCAGATGGCCCCCATCGACCCTGATTGCCAGCCAGGCCGAGGGACTCCACCTGTGCACAAATTCGTGCACCGGGCCTCTAGTTATTTATATTGTTGTATTATTTGTATTATAACTGTAAACCTATTTTTGCCCACCCCTCTATATCATCACTACTGGAGGAGGGAACAATCCCACAATAAGTCTGAGTCAGAATAGTCCTACTGACTGTGAATTAGAATGATCTTTATTATGGACAACCTACTGCATTTGAGTAGAAGTCTACAATGAAAGTAAAATGTGTTAAGATTTAACACTATTTCAAGGCAGTTTTAATTCTAACAATAGGAGCCTACATACCAGATAACTGAAATATTTGCAGGCCCTCTTTACCAGAATAGAATTTTTAGTTATTCAGGAAAAACCATTATAACATATCTTACCACTAAAAGTGAGGTTTATTTCTTCAGAATAAATATAACATAGTTTTCCATATTGGTAATAAATCAGGACACATTGAATAAGTGCTGTAAAAAAATAAAGTTTCACAACTGAAATTATAAATGCCTTTATCTAAACAAATCCCTTAGTATGAAGACCAGATAGTTTGATGATTTGTAAGAAATATATAACTGCATGTGATCAAAGCTTGATTAATATAAAGGGTGTCCCAAAAATATATACACACTTTGAATAATTATTAATTCCAATGGGTTAAATCTGAAAAGAAACATCAATTGAGCTATCAGCGGTTAAAGTGTGTGTGTGTGTGTGTGTGTGTGTGTGTGTGTATGTGTGTGTACATATGTGTGTGTGTGTGTATGTATATATATATAGACACCCTGCATATTTGTCATCATTTTTGGGTACTGTAACATGCATTTTGTAACTTTTTCTTATCAATGTATAGAAGTAATCACTTATTAAAATGGCCTGTTTTCTTCTGAATAAAACTGATTATATAAAGTATACTACATCAAAATTTCTACCACTTATAATTTTAAAAGCCAAAAACAAAATTTGCTAAAATTAAACTCTATTTTATAGTTAAAAAATGTTTACTTAAAAATGGAGGAAAAAAATTTAATACCAGAAAGAGCAACCCTATCAAATTATTTAAATTGCCGAAACCGGTTTGGCTCAGTAGATAGAGCGTCGTTCTGCGGACTGAAAGGTCCCAGGTTCGATTCCGGTCAAGGGCATGTACCTTGGTTGCGGGCATATCCCCAGTGGGAGATGTGCAGGAGGCAGCTGATCGATGTTTCTCTCTCATCGATGTTTCTAACTATCTCTCTCCCTTCCCCTCTGTAAAAAATCAATAAAATATACTAGAAAAAAAATTATTTAAATTATAGAAGCAGAGTCCTAGCTTTTATAGCAAAGCAGTCGAAGAAAATAAAATATTGCAAGTTGAATGTAATCATTAGTTTTCTTTTGGTAAACCTTTAACATGTTCTAAAATCCTCTTTATAACACTATTTTGATCGTGGAAAACCATCTTGGGTATAGCGCATTTGAAAGCACTGTGAGTACAAGTATAACTGCTGCTTTATTTCCTAAAAGCTTCTCTAGTTTAACATTTCACAAATTACAAATTGAGATTTCCCACTTTTGAGTATATAAGGAAACTGTGATGTTGTACCTGAGTCTGCCATAGCAGAGCACAACCTCCTGCTAAGACTGGTCAACTCAGCTGAGGATTTGACATGCTTGCCACAAACTGCTATAACCATAAAAAAGTGGATGTTATTTCTTGTATAATATTGCTCCATGCACCTAAAGGAGGCTTTAAAGATTTAGTTTGATGTTCTACTACCTTTCAACTATCTCTGTAGTTGATTTCATGTGCATAAACATGCCACACAGGCGGCCATTCATCCTTTACAGCCTACAGGGTGCATCAGGCCTTGGATGCCACCAAGCAGCTCAGAGAAATGTCTCAAACACGTAAAATGTTTCCAAGAGCCTCATTTCTGTGCTTCTTAGTGTCATCGTTTTCCTTAGAAATGTGCATATGGGAAACATCTGATTTCACAGGATTATTTGTGTTCCCCTAGGGACTTGGCTCCTCTTAATTTGGCAGTGTGAAAAGGAAGTGGACAGTGAGTACCGACTGAACAGCAGAGGAGGCACTTGTAACTAGAAAGATACTGTCAGCCAAGGATGATAGTGGTTGGGCAAAAAGTAAAAAGCACCAGAATTCTGAACTGCATCAGTACATTAGTCCAGTGCATTTCACCCCTAAAGACCATTGTAACTTCCATGGAGTCTAGGCCAGCAGGTGTGGGGCAGGGCCCGAGACCCTGCATTTCTAACAAACTCCCAGGACAGGCAGCTCATACTGGTTTCTGAGCCAGCAGTGAGTAGTGTGATGAAACATGTGCATATTTGAACATTCTGTGAGGTTTATGTGTGTTTATTATGCTCAGTGTACCTTGTTGGCTAAGCCCTAGGCATGTATTACTCAGAAATTTTCCACCAAATATGGTTACAAATCATTTTGCCCTTTAAAGGAGTAACACCAGTTACCTGTATAATTTACAAAAGAACATTTTACTCCTTGATGAATCCATAAAAATACAGCCTATTTTTATGCTGTGTATAGTCTTATTTTATCTTTTCCCCCCTCGCAGGGCAATGCACAATTAGGTTGTTTTTAAATGCAATGAGTATCACATAAAATTGACAGTAACAACAGTAACATTCTTCTATTGTCACTTAAGGTTTTTAACTTTCTCTGAAACCTTTTTTTTTGGTATTTATTCAACATTCATCAATAACAATTTTAGAGCATATACTAAGAGCCAAGGACTGTCATATCCTGATCTGCTTATATCTAGGATTTTCAGCAACTTCAAAACATTTAGCAAGTTGTTAAAAATGGAGGAAAAACTCTGTTTGAACAAATAAACAAACCTTTCCCTTTAATAGCATTATTTCAGAAACTGCCAATTATCATCTGTGAACGCAAACTCAGTAATCAGCAACTGTGGCAACACAGTGGAAATCTCTTGATAACGAGTCAGTGGTTTCATGAGTATGTGAGTTTATTTTTCAATCCTCACCCAAGGATACATTTTTCCATTGATTTTCAGAGTAGAGAGGAGGGGGAGAGATAGAAAGAGAGAAACATCGATGTGTCTTGGTTGCCTCCCAGGTAGGGGATCCAGCCTGCCACCGAGACCTTGACTGGAATTGAACCCAGGACCCCTCAGTCTGAGGGCCGACACTCTATCCACTGAGCCAAACCGGCTAGAGTGAGTATGTGAGTTTATTGCTACAATTCAAGTCATCCTAGCTGAGGACAGCCTGGCTCATTCACACATGTGTATCCCAAACTACAAACATAAGAATAATGAACGCTTGGACCCACACTCAGTTCTCTCGTTGACTATACATTTGTCAGAAGACCACAGACTAATGTGTATATTTTTCTTATAAAGAATTGTCTTAATTCTATTCCCCTTTATGAAATAAAGGCTCCTTGAAAAATATGAAGGGTTTGGGAAGCAAATGCCTTGGAAGTTAAGCCACCATGTTCTTTTAAAATGACCATCTTCTAGTTTAGCAGAATGCAAGTAGGACTGATCAATGACGTTCCATAAGTTGTACTCAGAGGAACACAATTTTATAAGGACTGACAGTTTAATTAAGACAAAGTTATTTCTATGTGGTGACAATTTTAAAAAGAACAAGAGACTTTAAGGTGATCAGGCTTTTGATGGTCATTAATACAAAAAAAATGAGAGGCCCTGCTTTTTATAAAAGCCATGATGAGAAATTTAGAAAAACAGTATTATTATATGTGATATAGTTAAAAAGAAATGAGAAAGAAAAGGCCCCAGAGGAAAAAAATATTTTTGCACAGTGCTTCTCGTCAAATTGTGTGATTTAAAAAAAAAAAAAGAAAATGATTTTTTACTGACTTTTAAAGACAGAGGGAGGGAGAGGGAAATGGAGAGGGAGAGGGAGAGAGAGGGAAACATCAATGTGAAAGAGAAACATTGATCAGCTGCTTCTTGCACACCCCCTATTGGGGATGGAAGCCTGAGAAACCCATGCATGTGCCCTGACCAGGAATCAAAGTGACAACCTTTTGGTTAACTGGACAATGCCCAACCAAATGAACCACACCGGTCAGGGCAAATCTCGTGATGTTTATACCTTTAAAATCAAAAGGATTATTTTATCTTCTGGCCTCCAGATGGAATTGTAGAAAATACTTACCAAGAAAACAGTTCCAAAAGTGCTTCCTCTTAAGTTCTTTGGTACTATTTGGTAATTTTGATAGTTATCAATCCATTAAATACTTTAACATAAGTGTATCAACAAAAGTGCAACAAGAAGTACAAATGTTTAGAAAACGACAATTGAAGATTTGTGATCTCACAGAAACAGAATTCTAAAATTTTACTTGTGTTTCTGTGGCTAAGATATCAATATTGACCATAAGAACATCATCTCTAACTAGATTTATATTAAAGGAATATTACATAAAGCATCCCTTTTTAATGATTAGAATAACTGTTCTATATATTTTTTAAAGAGGCAAGTTTCAATGTGAAAAAAGAATAATTTTGAGTTTCATAAAGTTATACTCTTTGTGCCTTTTGATTCAACGAGGGTTACCAGCTAGAATTTAATGTCAGTTACAGAATGTTAAGGATTCTTATTTAAGTAAACAGTTAATTTTCTTCCTGCAGCAATTTCTCTATTTCCTTATCCCAGTTTTCATCTCGTTTCTCTGATTCTGTCACCACTTCATATTCTTGAAGTTCCTGCTGTAGTTCTTTTTCCCAATCTGTAGAATCATCTAAAAGAAACAGATGAGAAGGAAAAGATTCTCTCTGAATTTATCATGCTGGCTTCAACAATTCAGTCAACTATAATTACCTGTGTAAGTCCTAGCCATGATCATTTTGATTATCTTAGGCTTCCTCACCATGTGTGCTCAGAAAAATTGAGCAAATTTTAACAGTAACCAAGAGAAATGATTAAAAGATAAATTTGTTAATTGTAGAACCAAAGGTATCAGATGTTGTCAGTAGATTTGGGGTATTATTTCACTTTACCTAGACCTCTGCTTTTCCTTCAATTTAACTGGATAATTGATAATTGGTTGCAAATTAATTTTTACCATTAACAATGATGATAATGATAGCAAAGACAGCGAACATTTCTTGAGCACTTACTAAGTTAGGCACTGCACCAACCATTCTCTACCTATCGCTTTTTTTCTACCTTAGAATAATCCATTGACTAGATCAGGGATCCTCAAACTCTTTAAACAGGGGGCCAGTTCACTGTCCCTCAGACCGTTGGAGGGCTGGACTATAGTTTAAAAAAAAACCTATGAACAAATTCCTATGCACACTGCACATATCTTACTTTGAAGTAAAAAAACAAAACGGGAACAAATACAATATTTGTATTTGCATGTGGCCCGCGGGCCGTAGTTTGAGGACCCCTGGACTAGATACCACTGTTATGTACATTTTACAGATGGGGAAATGGAGGCTGAGAGAGGTTAAGGGACTTGCCCAAGATCACACAGCTTGACAGCGAGACATACATATGGAACCAGATCTGCAGGTTCCACAGCCTGTGCTTAACCACTTTAGCAGTAGTCTCCCTAGAACAGGGGTGGGGTACATAAGGCCCACAAAATCATTTTGTCTGGCCCTGCCAAGGCAACCGCTGGTAGGACTCGAAATTCAATAAATCTAGGAGCTTTTTTCATAACAACATAAATTTATAAAGTGAATTATTTTAAGTGAACGATGTTATAAATATCCAAATGGCCCTTGGCAGAAAAAAGGTTCCTCACTCCTGCTCGAGAGTGACAAGCAGTCAGGCGGTCTCTTGCTGAAGCCTGGCCCCTCGTGTGGGCTCCATCTGAGCTCTCACACTTGTCTTCCATGTTGAGATTTAGAGCTGCAACTTTCCACTTGAACACTCAATATACCTGTGTGTGTATGTATGCAAAGAACAAAGCATCTGCAGTGTAGTGTTATAACATGGTGAGAAAACAAAATAAACCAGCTATTTAAAAACTAAAGCTTTTAAAAATAAGCAAACTTAATAGCTATAGAGAAAATAATAACCAAATGTTTTAATTTTTTTGCAGCAGTGACCTCAAGGGAAAATAAGTGTGTTGCGTAACAACCAATCAATCCCAGAAATGTTTACTAATTGCTTACTGGGGGCCAGGCTCCATGTTAGGTACTGTAGGGGACAACCGGACAAGGTGTAACGGCCCTTGAGGAACTTACAATTTAGCTGGAGAGCCAAGACAACTACTATAGAAAAGAACATTAAGTGGCCCAAATTACAAGTAGGGCAGGGATTCAGAGAAAGAACAGCTCTCTGGAACAGCCAGGAGCTAGCCTTTGGGAGGCGGGCCAGTTTTTTGACCGGTGTTTTCTGCACAACCTATAGGAACAGCCAACTCCGTAAATTGTAAGTCTCAGAAGGCTTCAAGAAACACTCTTCATCTAATGATGAGCCCAGGCCTTTTTTTTTTTTTTTTAAGATTTTTAGTTGATTTTTACAGAGAGAGGAAGGGAGAGGGAGAGAGATAAACATCGATGAAAAGGGAAACATCGATAGGCTGCCTCCTGTACACCCCCATTGGGGATCTAGCTCACAACCCAGGCATGTGCCCTGACCAGGAATCAAACTGGCAGCCTCTTGGTGCATGGGTCGTCACTCAACCACTGAGCCACACCGACAGGCAGCCTTTGCTTTTTATCTAGTAGAAAGCCAGTAATTTGTTCTGATATGTCAAAGAAAGCAACCCCCTGCTTGCACTTTTTTTCTAAATTACTTTAGTATTTTAGAGGCAGCCTGCTTCTTCCCAGAAGCAATGCTTTTGTGGCACACAGCAGCTAGTAAAAGAAGCTTCTAGATACAAGCATAAACCTAAGGAGGATGCCTGCTTTTAAAGCAGAGCGCCAGAGGGCAACGTCTCCACATGAAAGGTGTACTTGCTTTCTTCTCTAATCCTGGCCACTTGTCCTTGGGCTGAGAGGCCTGGGATGCATCACTGGGCCTCAGTTTCTCCTCTCTATGCTTCTGTGCATGTTTAGAGCACAGGGGCGTGAGATCTGGTCATGCGTGCTAGAATACTTCTAGTGAACAGAGAAACAATTCTAATGCAAAAGTTATAGCATATTTTTGTACACCTGCTTCATAATAACGACCTACAATAAACATCAGAATTGGGGAACAGAACAGTTATTTTGTTTTGTACCTTCTAATACGGTTGTCTCCTCCTGCTTTTTGTCAAGCACCAGTTGCTCCATTTCCTTCCTCAGATCCTCCTGATCTAAGTTACAGGCATCGAAGGCGTCACTGACAAACTCAGAAACGCCTGGGCTGGTAGAGATCTCCTCTTCATCCTGAAATGCAACAAATAAGCTCTGGAAACAGTTTTCTAAGTGACCTTTATAGGCTAGACCAGTGATGGCGAACCTTTTGAGCTCCGCGTGTCAGCATTTTGAAAAACCCTAACTTAACTCTGGTGCCGTGTCACATATATAAATTTTTTGATATTTGCAACCATAGTAAAACAAAGACTTATATTTTTGATATTTATTTTATATATTTAAATGTCATTTAGCAAAGAAAAATCAACCCAAAAAATGAGTTCGAGTGTCACCTCTGACACGCGTGTCATAGGTTCGCCATCACTGGGCTAGACCTCTTGTTCATGGTCACCTCACAGTTTAATACAACATCATTTTCGTTTCCTCCCTCTGCTAATCCAATAATCACTGCTCTCCAACCTTCTAACCTGCACAGTTGATTGGTAACGAAACAAGTTACAACCTGAATCTATTGTGTTCATTCACAGCTTGGATCACTCCAATCATTCTGTCCAATCCCCGATGAGCACACCTAGAATGATTTATGCCAGGGAATCGCCTCAAGTCTGAGCTGTAGGTCCTTAACTATACAAGTACTGGACCCCTCTTCTTCAGATAAGACCTGTATTCATAAGTCATTTGAAATGGTATCTCAGATAGTTAACACAGTGACTTCATTTCCAGACATCAACTACTAGGTACAATGTAAAACTGTATTACCTCTTGAGTTTTAAGCTGAGATTTGATTACAACAGGTGGCGTTTTGGGCCGTACTGCCTCTAAGAAGTGAGAATAAAAGAGACAATAATTGCTTGATTCAATTCTGAATACACATAATAATGACAACTAAAAAGTAAACAAGTTTAATGATACTAGATAATTTACAGAAATGAACTTTTAATGTTATGTTTTCACTTTTTACATTATTATAAGAAATAGCCAGGTGAAACCATCTCAACCTCTTTCTTTTGGGGATTTCTTAAACATGTCATCATATTCAATGCCCCTTATACAAGACTGTCAGCAGGAAATAAATTTTTTTACTTCAGTGTTAGCAAAATCCATCAAAGAATAGTTCTGCTCTTTCTTTTAGGATAATGAGAATTAAGTTATTTACCAAGTTTTCCTCTTGTCACAAATGCTGGAAAGTTCAAAGTAAAGTGCAATGCTCAATTACAGCTTCTCCTTTTCTCATGGCTACATTTTGCTATCTTATAAACCTTACTAGATAATACAGTCTTTAATGAGCCCTGTCTTACGCCCTTTTGGTTACAAGGGCAGTATTTGGTAAAATTGCATTTTCCAAAAAAGTTAATAAAAGGAAATACAAAAGAATGATAGGCACTTGGATTCATATACACATCTATATATAAAATGCCAAATTTCACTGTGCAGAGCAATTTCATTACATAAGTGGTCTGAACAACCCGACCCTTATGACACACCACTATGCATAATTATTTAAAATTCCATGAATGGAAAAGTCTCCAGTTGTAAATAGTACCTATACAATGCAGATAGTCATGAAATGTTAAAAATATAACAAAATAGCCTAGCTGGTGTGGGTCAGTGGTTGAGCATTGACCCATGAACCAAGAAGTCACTGGTTCACTGATTCAATTCCTGGTCAGGGCACATGCCTGGGTTTTGGTCTTGATCTCCAGTACAGGGTGTGCAGGAGGCAGCCAATCAATGATTATCTCTCTTCATTGATGTTTCTCTCTCCCTCTCCCTCTCCCTTCCTCTCTCTGAAATTAATACAAACGTATTCAAAAACAGAACAAAACAAAACCTGAAGAAAGAAAAAGATAGCAAAGTAAAGGAAAGCTTGGTGAAGACTTGTGAGTTGGGTCAGAGAGAGCATTATCTTCTGGAAAGAAGAGTTTTCCTTTAGATAATGATGACATTTCTGGTACATACAAGATGACAAGCTCATGAGGGTCTCTACATTAAGAATATTTTAAAAGTAACTCTCCTTTTCACGGCGAGTTCTCTGTATATACCTGTCAGTGGCAACGCATCATCTCTGCCATGGCTCTTCTCTTTTCCGGCGGCCTGCTGCTGGGCGGCCAGAGCAGTGAGCTGGGCTGACTGCTTAATCAGGGACACACGGTAAAAGTAGTTCCTCCAAAACACTTCTTCCTTCACGCTTTTAAAGACAAACAACAACACATTTGAGCATGCAGGCACACAGATTCATGCAGGAGTTAGTTGTTGCATGGACACTGGAGCATATGATTTTTAGGGGCATTTGCAAATCCAAGAAAGGCTCCAAGAAGTTCTTATTTGCTTTTTTTGTTTGTTAATATATTTTTATTGATTTCAGAGAGGAAGGGAGAGGGAGAGAGAGAAACATGAATGATGAGAGAGAATCATTGATTGGCTGCCTCCTACATCCCCCCTACTGGGGATCGAGCCCGAAACTTGAGCATGTGCCCCGGCCAGGAATTGAACCATGACCTCCTGGTTCATAGGTTGATGCTCAACCACTGAGCCACCACAGCTGGGCTTATTTGCTTTCAAAATGAAAGCTGAATAACAGGGTAAAAGAAAATTTTTAGATATTTTAATGATACCAAATTGCCTTCAGCAAAAGAAGACTGGGTGCTGCTGTGAAAGCAGCATGATCACCTGGGAGACTGGAAACAGAGCCAGGACCCCACCAATTATTTGCCGTTTACTGAAGAAATAAGAGCTTCCAAGCAGTGAAAAGAAAAGATTGTGGGTGTTGTTCTTTATGAAAGGAAATGTTTGGTAGCTTGCAAATAACTAGCAATCTGTAGGAGTCAGCATTGAGGTGGGAATGGTTGATAATGCAACATGTGAATCTGAACTGGATCCTTTCGCTAAAAAAGATATTCTTGGGACATATGGTAAAACCAGAATAGGGTCTGAGAATTAAGAGAGTAAAAACCCGGAAGTGACATTTCCTGATTTGGGTGGTTACATAGTGGTTATGCAGAAAAATCCTTGTTTGTAGAAAATACACACTAAAGTAATCATGAATGATGGAGCATCAGAATGACTCAGAAAAATGACAAAGAAAAAGTTCTTTAGACTGTACTTCTCACCTTTCTATAAATTTGCTGATTGTTTCAAGATAAATACTGATGACTATGCTCACCTCAGAGCAATTAAATAAAAACATCTTT